CTTTTTATGTTTTAACTCCAGACCTCTCGCCTTTTTTTTTCGAGAGTTTTTGTATTATTATTATTATTTTGTACCGGTGAACTTGCCAACCTTTTTCTTAAAAATAAATGTGATGTTGAATTCACTTTTTTGACCACAATGTTGGGTGTACTGTTTTGTTTTTACTGATGGGGGGTGGGGGGTGCGGCTTATAGTCCGGTGCAGCTTATAGTCCGAAAAATACGGTATATATAAGAAATGGTTTAATTCAGAAGTAAGCTTTTATTGAAATTCTGTCATTTCTTATCAGATTCTAACTTTTTTTCATTGGGGGGAGTAACCCACCTGCTGACTGACTCACCTGTATGATACTGGTTCCGTTTTTGAAGTTGGTGAAGGATCTCATGACATCTTGACTCATCGACTCCACTGATTGTTTCCAAGTACTGGAAAACCCCCGAACCAGCTGAGTGATGCGAGCTGCACACACATACAATAATAATAATAATAATAGTAATAATAACGACAATAATAACAATAATAATAACAATAATAATAATGTTTTAAATAACCAGACTCTTACATTTTTAGTATTCTGCACACTTTATGGCTTTATTCTGAGCTCCTCTAAGCCCAGACTAATTGAATGTGGCTTTTTATTCTAAACGGGTTATATTGAATTTCATTTAAAAAGGCTGCTGCACTCTAAACACATAGGAGTAATTTATTAAAAAGTATTTTCTTACAGCAGCTGTTCAACTGTCTAAATAAATCGTTTAAATTCCTGCTGCTCTTTGCACAGAGCTGCATATTCTTCTTACACAATCTGTTTATTTACAGTTAAAAGCACAAATTTTACAGTTGCACTTTATCTCACTACACTTGTTATTTTTTGTAAGCGTATTTTTTTTAATTGTTATTGTTTTAATGCATTGTCTTTGTGCTTCTGTTTGCCCGTGGTGTTGCTGCTGAATCACTGGAGTTTCCCCACTGAAGGACAAATGTTTACAAGGTTCTTCACATAATCCAGATAAAACCTTAGGAGTAGAAAACACACACTACTACCCACAGAGGATAAGAAACGGTTTAAAACAATAAGTAGTTTGAATTCAATAAAAACAAAATCTGCAAAAATAATAAAAGTTAAAGTGTAGTTTAAAATGAGTAGGTGTCAGATTTGTAAAGGCACTTTTGTGCATCTTTAAATTTATTTTACAAAACAGATTATTTCAAAGAGCAGGGGCTCCAACAGGGAAACCACGGTCACTCTTGGTCTTTGAGTGGGATTTTGTGACGGTTAGGAAGGTCTCAAGCTGCAGACAGGGACATAYGAAGGTAAAATGATAAATGCCAAAAGTAAAAATGGCACTAAAAATAAAAGATTTCTTATTTTTATCCTTGGAGTGCTTCTTACTTGGGTGGGGCCAGCAGTTTTACGAGGTTTGTCTCACCTTCCTCGTTCTTCAGTCGGTCCAGCTGTCCTTTCTCCACCAGCGCCTCGGCCTCCTTCACAAAGGCAATCATGCCTCCAAAGGGAGGAGACAGAATCTCCTCGATAAACTCCTGGCGGGATGAGATCGAGGGAAGGTGTCATGTTTTTAAGAAAAAAGATCAAACTGTTTACATTTGTATGATTTTCTTGTGGCTCTTCTGTTCTTAATGTTTTAATATTGAAATAAAGTCAAAGTAAAATAATAAAATACCAACTAAATACAACTTCTACTTCACAAAGAAACAAGACATCAAACTGACTCTTTTATTACAGGTTTTAAAGGCTTTTCTTTTGTGTTTAGCGCCCCCTGCTGGTTTCTAAACAAACTGCAATTACATTAGAGACCTGATTCTTATATTTTTTGACTCAAGTTTATACTGTCTTCTTGTCGACAGAATCCAAACACAGTTTGAACTGACACCGATAATGACACTAACACACTGGAAACTTGTATATTAATATTAATCAGTGCAATACGTTGAAAAAAAAATCAACATTTTTACTAGTAGTTGTACTTTAAGTTTAATAAGAAATAAAATCACATGCTTTTTTTTTTTAACTCACACAC